GGGGTCCCGGCTGCGGAGCTGACAGGTCCCCGCAGAGCCCCCGGCTCCAGGAGGGGCGGCGGAGGGATGAAATCTGCCTTCATCCCTTGGGCAAGGGGTCTTCGGCGCAGGAGTCGGGTTGTAGGAGCCGGAGGGGTCTTGCGCAGCCGGAGGGGTTTGAGCCGCGAGTCCTCGCACCTCCCTCCAGCAGGTGAGAGAGCCTTTTTCTCTCTCTGAGGCTAAATACTGCCGAGAGGCAGCTGAAGAAGTTTCACAGGCCCCGTGCACCATGGCAGCGGCTACGACCATTGCTAACAAAAGGCGCTGCAGTCTGGAGGCGGGTTGCCATGCGAAGGCTGCTGGAGGAAGATTGGGCAAGGCCAGGAGGTACCTTATGGGATGTTTTTTCAATAACATATGTCACCAAGGATGTCGTTTTGACCTTACTGATTGCGTCGCTGAGCCTGCCTCCTGCCCGACTACAGATAAAAGAAGAAAGTGCGCTAACCCTCTAAACAATTATATCTGTCTATTAAAAAAGATGGCAAAGTACGAAACAACCAGGCCGTATTTATCAGTGTTATAGGAGGCAGCCATAGCAACCTATGTGTTTTCAAGTTCTTCGTAGGAGTTATGTTAAAGGGGTTTGGGAAGGATGTGAAGGAAACCGGCTATGTTGCCACGTTCATCATCAGGACGAGAATAAGGGACAGCTTACTTGAAAACATGAAAGGGAAAGCTTAGAAATGTGATGAGTGAGCAATGAATCCCAGCAGCCAGGGCCAGCTGGAGGCAATTTCTTGACATTGAATGGAAAAGGATTGATAGAGAGGGGTAAAATGAAGAGGTGCCTGAAAAGTGCGTCCAAGTAATTAATAGATGATAGTAAAGGAACTATCCTTTCAATGATAGGAGAGAAGCAGCATCAGTATGCTGGATGATGGGAACCAGAAAATATTGCATTATGCAGGCCAGCATTTTGACAGTATGAGTAATATGAAAAAAAAAAAAAATCATTTATGACTAACGTGTCTGACTGATTTTGTATTGTTACCTGCTGGGAGTTGTGTGGATCTGTCGCCCAACAGGTATTGTGTGACTACAGGAAGGTATTAGCAGGAACCATTACAGGGATTCATATGTGTGGAGTTAATTCCAGTGACAATGGCTATGCATTGAGGTGGGAGCAAACGGCTGAGTGCAAGAGGGAGAGGGTTCCTCAGATTTCTGTGGAGGCAGTAGAAAATGAAGCCTGCAATGAAAAGACGTGGCACAAAGGTGCTGATGCTGGGATTTAGAAATCACTGGAGACAGAGACAAATTTTACAAGACAACTGAAATATGAGAACTTGGAGAGCAATTACTGCTACAGTTAAAGATTTTGCCTGTGCTTTGCCACACTAACCAGAGAGCTTCCTGTGATGGATTCCAGATGACTAATAAACATTGGCCTCTTGTGAAAGGCAGCTTGTGCCACTGTGAGTACTGCTGGCGGCATCTGTTTCATGTTCCTATGAAGATCTGAGCTACTTCCCTTCACTAGATGGTGCTGTGTCCCAAAGGGCTGATCTTCACATTCACTGGACGAAGAGACGTACCCTTAACAAAGCAGCAGTGCCTAGAAGCTTCAAGGGGAACCTGAGAGACTGGAAAGGAGACTGCTGAGTAAAACTTTTCATATCTCTAGTATTTGGCTAGCAGATGGTGGACTGAATGTAACATTAGCAGTTTGAATTAAAGTTGCAGCCACAGAAACGAACTGAGTCAAAGAAAACAATGAGAAAAAGGGAATACAGCCATTTCCCAAAGGAGAAGATTAGAGAACTATGTAAAGATAAAGCTTTAACCACTGGGAGGTTAACCAGGACGTAGCTGATCAGTCAGCTCGTGAAGAGTGTTCAGTCTAAAATTCCTGGGTCAGAGCTTGACAGGGTCCAAGTATGCACTCCCTGCTGACCCTCTCAGCACCCAGGCTGAAAAGCCATGGAGAGCCATAGCAAGGAACTACATGACAGCACGCATTACGGCATGTATGTTATTTCAATTTTGGATGCTTACAACATTGATTGCTATTTTACTGTTCTGGAGAAGACTCAAATTTACATTTCAAATAGTCTCCATCTAACATTTAATGGGTTGAACACTTAATGGGTCCAAAAGTCAAAAAAGCTTATAGTTAAATGAATAGAATTTTCTGACTTCAGAAAGATAATAGATTCTCTAGAAGCCTTCAGCATGCATAATCTGATATTTACAGAGAAAAGCTTGGTGTATGCAAAACAGTAAGAGAGTGATGGCTATTGAATTTACAACCATGATAGAAGAATTTCCTCAAAAAATGGAGTACACATATCAGTACTTGTATGACTCGTAAGGTTTATAGCAATCCTTTGAATTACATATGTCCCTATACCCTAAAAAAAAGCGATTTGTTGATTGGAAGGGTAATGATTTATTCATCATTGGTAGGTGAACATTTAGATAATAATCAATTACAGTAAAATTAGGGAGAAAGTAGGTGAGATTATGGAGAGTGACAAAGACAGGATCCCATGAAATGGAATTTACATGAATCCATTGACCCGAACAAAGAGGTCATAGCAACCTGTAATTTAATACCGTCAGATAGGAGGAAGCTGCCTCAGAAATAGAAGGACCCACAAAGAGTTAACTTAGAAAAAACTCCCATAGGAAGTGTCTGCTGTCATGGGTATAGGGCCAAGACTATGCTTGAGTCAGAAAGGGGAAAAATTTTGCTGCTAACTCATCAAGCTGCCTGTTTACTTCTCGTGTGTCAGTTCCACTTGCGTGAACAGCAGTGGTTACAAAGGGCAAACAAAGGGGGGAAACCCTGTATGATCACAGCAGAGTCGGGCAGGAAGAGTGTCCGGTGGTATAAGGGTACAGGGGCTGAGGTAACGTCTGCTGAGCCCTATTTAGTACATCAATCTAAGTTTGTTTCTTGTGAGTAATTCTGAGATGCATGTTCAGATCCCTTCCTAGGAAATGTACACCTGAATTACGGTGCCTATAGATTTTGCTGTTTGATATTCGGACACAAGAGGCAGTCACGGATGCTGTATTACCAGACTTCTGCAGGGTAACTTGACAGTCCCCAGAGATGAAAGAGCTAAATTTATGTCATCTCTTCCTTGATACTTTTAGAAAAAAAAAGTCTGAGTTAAGGTGATTCTGAGCCATCATTTAGCATCTTGAGGCTGGTAAGCTAATGAAGACATGGGACTTTAAAATAATGTGTACCATATTTACGGACTAGCATATTCAGACTGGGATCTGCATTTACTCTACTTGCGGTATGCCTGCCTGGTCGTAAGTGCCAGTGAGAATCCACGGTTTTCCCCCTTTGAGGGGGAGTGCGTTGTTGGATTAGAAGTAACTCTAGAGAAAGAAGCGATGGCAGGTATGCGCTGATTCTTACGGAGTTAGGCAAGGAAAACAAGGTCAAGGAAACAAAATGTCTTATATAACAGTACAGTGTTTGCTATTCACATGGTATAGGGGAATCAGATATGATGCAAAAGAATAGCTCTAAGTTGCCTGATAAAGGTCCTTAAAAAGCCATCACATAGCTTGGAGAGGTGAACCAAGTTGCTGAATGCCATGACTACACTTTATAAATGTGATGAAGTTGTCTGATGGGAGGATAAAAAGGAAGAACTTGTACTAAGCTTACAAGAGGCAGACCACTTGCTGGAGTCAATGTCCCTTTCAAATAACAGTACAGTAAGCAGAGAGGTGTAGCAGGTGTGCAAATTTATTGCTGTCAGAATCTGTGGCCCCTGTCTATACCTACAACTGATGGAACTGATACAGGAATACAGAACTTTTATGGGTAGCTATGAGGGATTATACTGTCATCATTTCCCTCCCATCCTTCATGTTTTAGGGCTGTTTGGTAGAGCTGCTTGTGGCTTACTAAAAGTGTCTTTAGACTCAGATGCCTTACTTAAATCTGCCTTTACATTCAAACAGAATTTGTGGATTCCTAACCTTGTCTAAGGGCTACCTGCTGCCTTTTAATGTAAAAGTTAGTAAGGAGATATAAGATACACTGTCATGTTTTGATAGCAATTGTATTTTTTGCTGTGCCATAAAGAAATAGGAAGGTACATGCCTTACTGCAAAGGCAGGAAATGTGAAAAGATGGTGGAAATGGCTTATTTAGGACACAATACAGATAGCTTTTCAAACAAAGCAGCAGATTGAGTCCTTTACTGAGATGGTGACGCATATCTGTAAAGTATTCCAGGGCTGTTACTGTCGCTGAGAAGTATACAAAATTTGTCAAACAATGGAATGGTCTCTGAGCTCTGGAACATATGTTAACAAGGTAGCTGAAGCTTGTGAATCTTTTGACGAGCAATTGATGGTTTTTTAGATAAGCCGAAAGAACTAGGTCAGTTTTCATGCAAGTGAACGCTAATAGAAGCAAAACTAAATTTTTATTTGAAAACGATTCTTGGCTTGCTTTCTGATCTAGTGTGTCAGTGTAGTAAGAGGAAGGGAAAAGAGTGATCAACATGAGAAAGAACTGCAATGGCTAAGAACTATGCAACTGCCAGGTTCTTACAGAGCTGCGTTTGAGTTTGGGGTGACAGTTGTCACTGTGTTTTGGTTGTATCATATGAAAGGCTTCAGTGCCAAATTCTAGAGATGAAGTGTAAGCTTTCAAGGTTATAATATAGAAGTAATTTTTTTTAAATGTGAGTGTGAATGCTCACAAAAAAGTTTTCTCGATTTTTTTTACTGTTAGGAAAATAGGCATATAGATGAATTACAGTTGATTTGCAGAAAATGTCATATATGGGAGCAGTGATCTTGCTCAGCTGATTTTTTTTTCCCAAAGAGGGTATAGGAATGTGTAATATTTGTGTGAACAATCTGTGAGATTTGGCTAACCCACTCAGGTTGTATCATTATGCATTGAATGGATTAACTTGTCTTTGGGGAGGGAGATGCAGCAGGTTTTTTATATAGATGCCTGAGTTTGTAAGAGGTTTAAGTTGAAACACAACAGATTCTGAGATCTGCTTTATGGACTTAAGTACCCAAGGGAACAGTTGGACACATCAAAGTCCATTAGTGAATTTCCAAAAGATGGAACTACTGCTTCAATGAGATAGTTTGCCTAAAATTCCTGTTATTTTCTTTATTTGATTAAGATATGCTTTATTCCAGTTTACAAGTTACATTTCACTCAAGGAAACATCAATTGATATAGCTTGTTTTGGAAAGACCTCCAGGGACTTGCAAATATTTTTTCTGAGGAT